AGTCTTTCTGTAGTGGGAGAAAGAGGAAAAATGGGCTTCATTTGCTTGGTGGCCCTTTTAGGAACAAGGCCACCTGCTCCGTGGAGGTACACGTGGTCTGTGTGCATGCCGGACATTCTCAGAGGACAGGCCTCACCCAGCCCCTCATCCCAGGTCTGAGGCCCGAGTCACTGACCCGAAATGGAATATTTCTGAACAAGGGCTCAGAATCCAAATCTCAGGGAAGCAGCCATGGAGGCCTGTCCGACAAATGGGAATCTAGATGGAGAGCACAGACCTCTGCTTCCATTTTCCATCCAGGGTCTGAAGGAGGAGCCCCTGGCCGTCTGCTCTGCTATTTACTGAGGCCTAAGGCAGGATTATTGATTGAGGCCATCCAAGTTACACACAATGAGGGAAGGAGGCCGTAGCTGGGAAGAAGAGAGCACGGGGCTTGTCACAGGCGGAGGGAGACTACTGCCTGCACAGGCAAACCACCCACAGCCTCCTGGCTGGCGGGAAGGGCGGGACTCAGGGCCAGCCGCTGGGGAAAGCTGCCCAGTGGGCATTTGCGAGCGTGCTCCACCTCCACCATTCACGCCTCCCTCCGTCAGATGCAGCAGCAGCTAATACCAGGACTCATTTCGTGAGCACTTACTATGTACCAGGCACAGGCTAAGCCCTCTATACTAATTCACAACAACCGTAAGATTTTAAAATTCTTATGCCTTTTACAAATGAGGAAACCAGCACTCAGACTGAGGTGTGGGGCTCCAGCCTTTCAGTGAGCGGCTGTTTCTCTCTGTCGGCTGAAATAAGCCAGGCCTGGCCCAGCTAGCTCCAAGCCCCTGAGGGGACCGAGCCCATGCTTTAAGGGAGCAGGAGCATAGCCAAGAGCTGTGTTCCAGATGAAGCTCATGCTGAACCCACCCCAAGCCCCTTTAAAACAAGCCAGACCCCACAGCCTCTCCTCAGCCAGGGAGGCCTGCCCCTTGGTGTGCGGGGTCTGGGACAGAGCCTGTAACCCCACGGCAGGGGCTGAAGGGCTGGGTGCAAAAGGACCCCAGCCGTAGGCATCAGAAGTCCCAGTAAGGAGGGCCACTAGCTCATGCGGGCGCTTCTGCCCAGGAAGGCAGGTTGAGAGAAAGTGTGCCAGCACAGCTCTGTGGCCTAGTGGGGGATATGCCCTTCAGAAGCCCTCCTGGCTGTTTCTCCAAGCCACAGAGTGTGGAGGCTGCCACGTCCCAGGAAAAGTCCTAGGGTCGGAGATACCCATCAGAGGCCCTGATGGTCCCTTGGAGGCTGGGACCAATGAGCAATTGGAAGCTAGCACAAAGGGAAGAGACAGCCTCATGACCTTTAGGCCAGAAGTCCCCAAAAGGGTGTGGGGAGAGAAGAAACAGTCAGGGTGGATCTCAGACATTCTTGGAGGGCCACAGCTCTTAGTGTTACAGCCGGCAGCCCCAAACCCCCACCTCCACCCTGGACCTGAAAGTGGATCTCTATTCTTGGTGGTCAGCAGGATCGTGAGCATACACAGTGACAGCTTGCTAAACAAAGATTCTAGAAATAAGCCAGATGGTCCCGCTGGGTAGGAGGAGTTCCAGGTTCCCTGGAGGTGGTGGCCATGATCAAAGAGGACAGGGAAGCATGGCTCTGTTGTGGTGGGCCAGGACCTGACAGTCGGAGAGACCTGACACGTCAGGTGCTGTTGCAGGTGTGACCTTGGTCTTGACCTTGTGGGGCAGGAAGTCTTGCCTTGGGAGATGGCCCAGGTGTGGGGAGACAAGGTGATTCCCATGCAAATGTGACTGAAGACCCATTCCCATGCCTCGGAGATCATTTCTACTTTTGGGAGCAAAATTTCTGCCACTGAAGCGAGCTGCTAGGTGCCAGCCTGTCGTTAATAGAAAGATTGAGTCCTGTGGTTCCTTTTTACCTTGTTCTCTTCTCCTCTTGTCAGCCTGACCCTAGGATCTCAGAGTCCCACTGCTTCGGTGTTAATGGGAACGAGATTGTCTGTTGCTCAGGAAGCCAAGACTCCTGGTAAGGAGCACCATCTGTATGCGGCAGACTTTGATTTTCGGAATTTATTTAAGAGTGTCAGAGCGGTGTCTGGCCACTGCTGACGTTCGTCAGGCCCCTGGGTTTTGTGGTTGAGCCCAGACAATGGGGCATAGAGACCGCCCAACCAAGGAGACCCTGGCAGAAACAGCTTTAGCTTTCTGGTGACACCACTGTCCCAACCTACCAGGAGAAGTCATATACCCTAGAGCTTTCCTAAGCTGTTCAGCATCCTGCTTCAGAGTGAGGGGAAACAGGCTGTGTGTGTGTGTGTGTGTGTGTGTGTGTGTGTGTGTGTGTGTGTGTGTGTTATAATGGGGCAGGGTGGGGAGTGGGGAGGGGGTGGCAGATTTTTTTTTTCTAGGGGTAAATCCTGCCCAACAAACCCCCAAACCAAGGAGCCACACAGAGTTAGCTGGATTATAGTGGGTTCAAGTCATTTATTTTTAGACTGTACCAGCATGTTTGGTTCTGGGGTCCAACCCCCAAATTCCAGAAAAATAAACTAATGAGAACCACATGCACTATGAGGAGGCCATTCTGCCATGTCCATGATCATGCGGTGAGTGGGATAGAATATAGACCAGGAGCCCTCGGTGTGGAGCAGGGCCTCCCTCCCAGGACAGCTGACAGCAGCCGGCTCTGAGATCTCACCGGGACTGGGGAGAGGGTAAGGGTGGGTTATTTGGACCCTGTGCCTTTATGGCCCTGGGTCCCTTATTGCTACATTTGCTACTTTGCTACTTTATGACCCCTGGGTGGTACCCAGAGGATATCTTATCACTGGGTGGTACTAAAGAGTAGGCTGCTGGCGTCGGCCATTGCCATGGTTACACCAACAGAGATCTCTCTTCAGAGGGTCCAGTGGTGAGTTATCAGGGATTGACTTGGCCACTATCGGACTGTGCCACACATGGTCCTTAGAATACACTCAACTCGGCCAGCCCCTTTGGAGGCTGGTGGCATGTTATCGTCCCCTACAGGGCTTTCCAGCTTCAGACCTTGCTGGAACACCTCCTTCCTCCAATACATTCTGCAAGACCCAAAGACCAAGAGCCCCCAATCTTTTCCAGCTTCTGGAAAGGCTTTCTGGTGGTGACTTTTGAAGCCCATGCATTTTGAGCACAACTGGAGGGGTGCGTTTTAGGAAAAACATCAACTTCCTAAACCAGCCAAGGGAACCAGACGGGTGGCAGCCTCCTGGTTCAGTGTCCTGTCGGTGAGGTAGTATGAACACAACAGCAATGCTGCCTGGGGAAAAGCCCCTGGCGCATGTCCTCATGTGTTCACTGGTCTAAGCAACAACTCAGAGTTGTTAGAGGTCCCTCCTGGGCGCTGGCCTGTCCTGACCCCTGGGCAGTGGTGGGCCTGGAGCATGGCCTGGCTGACTGCACTGGTGGGCCAGGCCCTGCTGTGTTCCTGGGGTGCAACAACACCTTCCCGGGGGAACAAAGCAACACTTCCTGGAAGGGCAGGAGCCCTCTCCCAGCCCAGAGAGTTCTTGCTGCTTTGATCAGGTCCTCGGGCTGCTCCTGGGCACTTATGTGAGCCAATCTACAAGTTCTACTCTTCCCATGTAGGCAAAGGCTATTTCAGTCAGATGCCCAATGCCAGGTACCTGTGTGTCTGACCTGATGGGGAGGTGGTCACTTCTAAGGCTGCCCTGATGCTTTGGCTATGGGGCTGCCAACATGATATTTGCCCTGTGAGCCTGCTTCCGGAAGAGTCCCAGGCCCAGAGACCATGCCCAGTCAGGGGAGCTGAGGCAGGACAGGGCAAAAGAGCAAAGTCTATTTTGCTACAGAACTGCCTTCAAAAGTCTAATCTGGTCTGAATTAATGGCTGTGGAGATCAGGCTATTGGGGAACTCGCCAAGACCAGATTTTCCCAGGGTACTTGCATTCTAAGGTCTGCACAGTAGACTGGCCTTGGGCTGCCCAACTTGGGCTGAGCAGCCCTGTCCTATACCCCGTAGCTGGGCGTGATCTACTGAGGAGCACGTGCTGGTGGTCACAGGACTGAGCATGCCTTGGTTGGGAGGTGGGATGTGGGGGTTATTGCTCTGGGTTTGAATCCATCTGAAGAGCCTTGACCTCTACTGAGCCTGCTGGATGTCCCCAGAGGAGTCTGGAAGGCTTCAGCCTGCTCCATCTCAGGGCTACAGTCCACCTGGCTCAGTCCCCTCTGGGGACTTCCAGGGTGGGCCAAGTCGCAGGCCAGCATTGCTCAGGAGCAGCAGCCAGAAGGGCACAGACGTCATGGCCGGTGAAGCCCACCCTGCCCTGGCTATAGCCATGGGGAAGGGCAGGAGGCAGCCGGGCCTTTGCCCTGGATAACCGAGGGCACAGAGGCACCCACTGTTCTGGAACTTCCTTTGTCCATACATCCTGTACCTCAGTGTCAGCACAGCTGGGGATCCTTGGCAGGGAGGCGCTTCCTTTGGGCAATGCTAGGTGCAGAGGAACTTGAACTGCAATTTTGTTCTGAAACAGGAGGTCTGTGTGAAAAGCAAGAGGATAAAAAGGATGGAAGGAGAGGTGGAGGAGAGGAGGGGTCAAAAGACTCCAGAACATGGGATCGGGCTTCATCTCAGTCCTTTACTCATCAAATAGTTACTGTCTACAAGTGCCAGGCTCTGTGCTGAGGTTGCGTGGAACAAGGGCGTGGGAGTGTCCGATGAGACTCTGGGTCTATATCACCACCTTTGGAGATACTCTGAGGACTCAACATACGCCATCTAATTTCCACTGTGCCTCGAAGAGAGAGCAACTACTGCCAGTGGGGGAAACTGAGGCATGGCAGTCAAGAACCCATGAGGGTACAACCATGATCAAGACTCCTGATGCCCCTGGGGGCCCCACTGAGGAATGGACGGCTGGGGCCCTGGGGATAGGGCCCTGTGGAATCAGACATTGACAGGGCATGAAGGGGCGGGGGGTTGGCAAGACAGTCATAGGGGAGCACCCAGGAGGCAGGGTCTGCAAACAAGCTTATGAGCCTTTGGTCAGCAGCTGGTGAATCTGCCTACATGAGGAGAGATGTACCAGTGATTGCTTTTTGCTTCTACGTTTGCTGTTTATACACTCCCAAGGGAGAGTTTTCACCTAGGGCCAAAAACAGCTCAAAGAAGGATAGTCATAGCAGGTGGGGGAGAGTGTCTGAATTCAAATTCAGTGTCGCTGAATTCCGCTCTGTCCGAGGGCTCATGGGAGTCACGTGACGACAACGACAATGACGAGTAATAGATACCGATTGCTAAGCACCTACTACACGTCGGGCACCTGACTCAGTGGTTTACGTACAGGATCTTGTAGCCAAGTTGGCAGGTGGTCATTTTGACACACGCACGAAGGGAAGACAAGGGGGTCTTTTGCAGGTTTTTGTAGGTTTTGCTTTCTGTCTGCTTTTTCCCTTGATGTCTGGTATCGGTTAGTGGGGCGCCTTTGCTGGGCCATCAGAGAATCATTTGGCCCTGGCCTAGTCCCTCTGTAGCAGATTCTGCCCCAGCTTCAGACCATAAGGAGACCTGGTCCCGCAGGGTCCCGGCCCCGCCCTCAGGACTGCCCGCCTTGCCACCCATCTGCCTCCAGCTGGGAGCCCTCCCAGCTTCCACCTGGGGCTGCCAGAGGGAAGGATCCCAATGGCCCCTGAGTTCATGGCCATGTTTATTTTGAGTAAAACATGAGGGAACAAACCAAAGAGCAAGGGGCAAAACCAGAATAAATTACGAAATAATAAATTTTTAAAAAGATGGTCAGGACCTGCGCATCTTGTAAACCAGAAGCTCTTTCATCTAGACTGGCACTTCCTCTGGTGTTGGACCCTTGAGACATTTGACAGGACCAGAGGGCAGCCACCCCGCCTGTGGAGACCTCTTCCAAAGTTGGCCTCCAAGGGGCTTGAAAGAACTTGAGGTGAAGCCATCCATGAGGTTGCTCAGCACTGACGACGTGATTGGGACATGTCGCCTGAGGGTGGCGCCTGGTGCCAGCTCCTTACACCCCGGTGGCCACAGAGATGGGGGGAGGCAGGAGGTGGGCGGGACACAGTGGCTGTAACTATGGTGGGTGCTGCTGGTTCACCAGGGGGACGGTGGGGAGGCAGCGCGAAATACTGGATGTGCTCAGGGCCAGCTGGTCCCTTTTGCATTTGCCGGAAGGCGTGATCCCCCAGACCGCGGAGGAGTGATGCGAATAAGAATATAATGTTAGGTGACAGTCACAACAGGAGCCCCCGAGGTGTTCTCCCCTGAATGGTTTAGTGACAAGGTCCTCTCAGAGAACCGGGTGTCGGCGCACGACTGTACAAGGAAGAGAGGGCTGTAAACAGGGGCCCCTGCCGGGCGACCCCAGACTCTGTGGACTCTTTCTTTCCGCTCTCCCCGCTCACCCCCTGAGTCTTCCCACCGTTGCCCTCCATCGTCCTCACTCTTTCTCCTTCACAGTGACCAGATCTCCCCTTAAGGAGGCTCTGTCCGCGGATGTGGAGCGCCGCCGCCTGCCCGCGTGGTTCTCGTCCCCGGGCCCTGCGATGGGAACCGTCAGGAGGACTGCATCAGGCCGGTGAGGCGCTTGCCCGCCAGCGACTTTCCCTGCAGAGACAGGCGACGGAGAGGCACGCACAGGCGCACACACACAGAGACAGAGACAGAGAGCCAGACAGGTGGATTAATTGTTGCACGAGCCATGGAGGCCAAATGACTTAGCTCCCTGATTCCTTTGATCTCTGGGTTTGGGAGCCTTAACTGCAGGCAGCTGGAACAACCAGGACTCTGGGGCAGGTTAGGGAGTCAGGGTGTGGCTGGTACTCTTTTTGGGGTGTGGGAATTTTACTTACCCCAAACCAAGCATTTCAACCCCTTAGGTAGGGCGTCTCTCAACACCTGTGGGCTGGCCCTGAACTTGATTTTATTCAACTGAGGAAGGAAAAGGTAGATTGGGGAGCAGTAAGATCAGGGAGGGTGGGCTGACGGAAATAGATGATGGCTAAGGATCTGGGAGGTTAGGAACTAATGAATTAACTAGTCTTAAGAATGCAGAAGACCCAAGAGTCCTGTTTGAAATGTAGGATGAATTCTCCCTGGGGGAGACACATGGACTTTGGGTTCCCCTGATGACCGGCTCTGGGACTGAGAGCACAGGGCATTCAGCGAGGCTCGGAGCCTGGGCTGATGAACAGGGGCCACTGTAGGGCCCAGGGCACTCCACTCCTGCATCACCTATATTCCTGGCTCCCCATCTGCGGTACCCAGGCACTGAGTTTGATGACGCCACATCAGAAAGTCTACAAGCCCTTCCTTACAACCCAGCTTCTTCTTGAAAACGAAAAAAATGAACTGGACCGCGAGGCCTGGTACATGAAGCACAGAGGTCCTGAGAGTGGCCAATTTTTCACATGCCAGGGGCAGGGTTGGGGGGAGATGGCTGAGGAGCCTCTCTTGTGGGACTGGGCACCAAGAGGAGGGAGGAGGAGGATGAACGAGGCTCAGTGGCTCTGCTTATTTGCCTTGATGTATTTCCCCAGTCCCTGCTCCCCCTTTTCAGAAATCCATAGCATCGGACAGGGGTCTAGAGGAGAGTGTGGCTGGCCCCAAGCAGATTGATCACTGTGTCTGAGAAAACACCCAAAACCCATCCTATTATTGACAGCGGGTCAGTGTCACCAACACCATCTGCAAAGGGCAGCACACGATCGCTTGCAGCCTGGGCTGTGCTGTTTGGTAGCACGAGATTGCAAGGGCCAGCAATTCCTCACGTTCATTTCCAAGTGGGGTGTGAGGGCTCATCTTGTTTACTGGGCTTGGCTGCATGTAAGCTGGATGTAATTAAAAAAAATTGATCAGGTTTGTGAAGCCTGCTAGGGTACTCAATAAACCTGCTGATTGATGAATTGATGGATAATGGGTAAATCTAATAAACGAACAACACGGGCTGTGAGTTTGCTGGATGCAGGACAATGTGTCTTCTGGCTTAGCTCTCCATGGAGGGAGGTGCTGCTTGACTTTGAGAATTCCGATGGCACGGATGGGAGCCTGTCCAGATGGATTTACCCTCAGGAGCTGTTGGAAAGTCTGCACCCACCTCCTCTTGCCCTTTTTTTCCCCTTTCTTTCACTCCTCATTTTCACTAGTGAGACAAAACTTGCCATTTTTTTCTCCCCTATCTTAAACACACACACACACACATGCACACAAAATCTCCCCATCAGCAACCTTATCTGAATCTTCAAATACACTAAACTTAGCCTGTAGCAGGATACATTTATACTGGGCTAAACAGTTTTTAATCAGATTTTTTTTTTTTTTTTTTAATCCTGGAGGGTTGCAGCGCCAGTCTTTGCAAATCACTAAAAGCAGAACGGTACTCCTCTGTATAGTGAGTTAGGTACCACAGCAGCTTGTAGATGGCAGAGGCTGACCTTCAAGGACTCCCTCCAGCCCTGGATTCTAAGGCACACATATGGCTGTTCCTCTCCTTGACTGCCCTTTCTCAGATGGAGCTCGAGGCATTTGTCATCCAGTTGGTTCACCTGGGAATGCGCCTTCTCGAGGTAGGCCTGAAGGCAGGAAGCATGGGTGTGTGTGAGGTCCTCTCTGGGGAGATGTGGAGCTGATGAATCCAGGGGCCTCCTGGTCCCAGAGCACTAACAAACCTCCCCACCCCCTTTACCCACATCCATCCCTGCTCCTATGGAAGGCACTGAGGAATCTTGCTTTCCTCTGCGTGCTGCTTATGGCTGCGGCAACCACACACCAAATACTGGCTCCTCCCTGTTCCTTCCATCCCTCCTCCACCAGGGGACAGATTACACATTGTGCACTCAAATATATATGTTCCGGGTCTGCCATACGCAGCATTTGGGGCTCTGATTTTGCTGGCAACGTGAGAAAAAAGAAATCACTAAAGTTTCTGAATCACAGTCTGTGATTCAGACTGTGGCCAGTGCGTATGTTAAAAGCCCAGAGACAAAGCAGGTGAGGCTCACCAAGCATCCAAACCCTCATTACAGCTTCTTCCTCATTAGTGAAGTCATTTTGGCTGGAGAGGGGGCTGTGGGTTGAGGGATGTTGGAGATGCTATTTCTGGAGGATTGTGTGTCTATTTGTTTTAGGAGAATTTGGCCCTGAGGCCCCCCACCCTTGACCCCTCCCGGTTCTATAGAGTGGGCTGGGCTGGGCTTGGAGGTGCTAATTAATCTCTTCCTAAGTCCTGAGCTCAACCTCACAGCTCTGACTTCAAGGCCCTGTGGCCAGCCCATCAATCCTGCCCCTCCCCTTTCCCCAGCTGCTTCCCTTTCTTAGGGCTTCAGGGGCGGGGTGGGGTGGTGGGGGTGGTGGAAGGGGTACAGCTGATCAGCCCAGAGAACAGACCCTGAGACTGTTCCCAACTTCTCAGCAAGCCAGGTGGAGCTCCTGGGCATTTTTGTCTCCCTCTCCCCACTCCTAAGCTCACGCATTTACCAAATGCCAGTTCTGCTGCTAAGGGAGGTGGCGAGGGTCTGGGTTTGCTTGGAAGCCAGCTCAGCCCAGCTGCAATCTGTCCTATGCAGTGACCTCCCAGGTTGAGGAAGGGTAGGCTCAGACCGGAAGGTGGTTACTCATGCAGGACACAGGCATGGCTAAATGCCTGGCCTTGGGCTTTGGGGAAGAAATCCTGCAATCACACTGGCTAAGCAGCTGCCTTCCTTCTGAAGAGCCGAGGCTGCTGTAGTTTTCAGGGATCAAAGTGAAATCTGACAGCAGAGGCTATCTGTGTTCAGAGATGAGCTGTTCCAAAGTCTATGCTGCTAGGGGCTTGCTGGGGCTCCTGAGCTTCCTGCTCTGCCCAGAGAGAGGAGAGCTCCCACCTGCACCCTCTAGGGCTCCCTCCTCCCTCCTCTTCACCCCATCCCTGCCTCCAGTTTAGATGATTCTGAAGGAAACAGGAAGGAGAGTGGTAATTCTGCCTCTGCCTGGCATCTTGCATAGTTACAGGGGAAGGGTTTTTTTTCAGCATGTGAATGTGTGATGTTCCTCAGTGCTGGTCAGTTGGGAACGGATCATGGTGCCAGAACACTGCAGCCAGCTCAGCCTGAGGCCTTGGCGTAGCTGAGCGAGGCAGCTGAAGGTGGTTGAAAATGCTATTAGTAGGCAGCCTTTGTCCAAGTGAAAAAATATCCAGTGATTAGGACTGAGCGGCAGAAGGTACATTCCAGAGACACTAAAGCTTTGCATACAGACAAAGTGCTTTTCACCTTCGAGACATTTGGCAAAGTTTAATCCAGCAGGATCCTTCAATTTCATGGACCATGTGCTCAGTGCTGGGTTCACAAACACCCACACATTCAATTCCCACCCTCCACCCTGACTAATCATTTCAGCTCTGTGGCCATCTTGATGGCTAGAAGCCTGGAAGAAGGTGGTCATGGAATCTTTTGTTTCTAAAAGGAAACACACAAAAGGAATAGCTCCCTTTTGTGACAGCTTTCAGAAAAATCAACATGCTGTTTGACATGCTGTGGTTCTGTGCACTGTGCTTCCAGATATTAATCAACAAAGCATGCAGGATCCCGGTTACCAAGAGCTTTCGCCACTTACTTACCTGGGAGGCTGATGCTAAACACTTTGGCTGGAAGAAGGGCTGCGGCTCAGAGAGTAGCCCTGGGGGTCAGATGGCATATTGGGGGTAGTGGAGCCAGGCCGTAGAGGCTCAGGCAGGACCCCTTCAACGCTAAGGGACTAAAGACATCTGAGCTGCTGATGAGATTTTCTTGTGATTTTCTCAGATGACCTGAGGCTGAAGTTACAGATCTCAAGTCCACCAAGTCTAAATCCATGCTACTATGGGGACAGAAATCAACCATGGTTACCTCTGGGGAGAGGGGTGGAATTGATTGGAAAGGGGTATGGGAGAACTTTCTAGAGTGATGGGTATAGGTTACACTGATGCATACATTTGTCGAATTCATTGAACCATACATTTCAGATCTGTTCATTTTGCCATATGTAATTATACCTCAAAAGAAAAAGAAAAGATTAGAAGAAAAGTCCCAGCTATCACCTCTCTGCTTTGAAATTTCCCATTCCTTACTCTTTTTCAGTTGCTATCCCAGCAACTTTGCCTTTTGGCCAAATTTAATGCTTCCCCCTCCAGTAGAGGAGAAACCCAGATTCCTCTGCTAGAGGAACTAGAACTTGCAAGAGAGCTAATTTGGAACACTATTTCTAGTCTCCATTGATCCAAACAGATCACCTTGTTGTGACACACAGGCATTTTTCATCCTTGCTAATGAAAAATGGTGTTCTGCTGAACAGGGCTCATCAAATGACCTCAGCAGGCAAGAAGAGGGAGGCCCTAGAGATGAGTTGTCCTCTTAAGGAGACTGAAGGTCACCAAGAGTAGATGATGCTCAAGTTCATAAATGATGAGTGTGTGTGGAATCACAGGCCTGGGGGAGACTTGCTGAGAAGAGCAGTCAGGAGCCTAAGATCCAAGTGGAAAGGTAAGCATCCTGGCTTGGGTTCAGCAGGATGCGGAGAAGTCAAGGACCTGCCTAACTTCATCGGGTGACTTCCCCAGAGGTTGGCGCCCCTGGTGGCCCTTTCCCACCGAG